ATCCTGCTCATGCCCTCTTTCCTGGTATTCCCAGTGTGTTTGGCAGTAGCATGTCCAGCACCTGTCTTGCTTCAGAGGGCTCTAGCAAGATCCTTTGCTTTGTGTCCTGAAGCTTGGCTCCTGGCATGGCTTTCTGGAAGTGGTTTACTGAATAACTTTTATTTGATGCGGTTTCTTTTGTGGAATGTGCATTGCAATCCTGTTTCTGCGTAGACCTGTCAGCCCTGGTCCATGCTGTGTGTTGATTTGCACAAAGGCTGGTAGTGGCCGTAAGGGCTTTTCAGGTTTTAAATGCCAAGACTGTAATGAATCTAACTATAGTTCAGCAGCTCATCCTGGGCACTATGCTGGCAGCTGTCTGCTCTGGTTTTGGTGCTAATTAACACTCCAGGGACAAATTATCCGTGGCATTAAAATGCCCAGGAGTAGAGGAGCTGAAGGATGGAAGTGGATGCGTGCTTTTCACTGACCAGCCGTAGGTGATAGACTGGCACCAAACACTTTCTGTTCTTGGGATCTCACCATCCGGGTGGGGGTTTTTTGCTGCTGTCCACAAATTTCACTGGGAAAATGGGAAATGCCAGGAATTCCTCAAAGGCTGTGCACTTGGGAGTGTTTTACCTGAGAACAGAAGCTCTCTCCCCATCTCTGCATTCACTACACAGACTCTTGCTGGGTTGGAGACCCTGTAATTAGGCTGGTGTTTGCAGAAGATTTTGGATTTGTAGTTCAAACAGTGTATTTTGCACAATTGCCAAATGATGTGGCTGTCTGACAAACTCACTGTTGGTGAGTCATCCTAGGGTGCTTTCTTGGTAGTTCTTGGTTTTCTTCTTTCCTCCATATCACTGTCTCTTCCTCTCTTTGGAATTTAGAGACAAAGAAAGTGGCCACCATGAGAGAAGTTTTTATTTCCCTTGCTGCAAGGTTTTCATCCCCCTGAAGGCAGCAGAGATGATGCTGCAGAGAGGCTGGTGGCAACCCCGTTCTTCCCTCCTGCAGATCTTGAAGACATACCAGCAGATGCTGCCCCTTCTCAGCCTGGTGTCCCCTTGCCACAAGCAATATCATCCAAGCCTGCAGGTTATGGACTTGGAGATGCTGGTTACTTCTGCCTAATTGCTAGCTTGGCTTTCTGAGGGCAGAGCAGGCCATGTTTTGTTTTGTGCTAATGTCTCGGGGCAGATTCTGATCTATTGCACAAAGATAAGCACAAATCGGGAATGGGCTTTACACCCTAAAGCATCATCTCACACCTGGGATGTCTGAAACCAGCTCCCAGCACTGGCAATGTATGAGTTTGGCCTGTTTAGTATCCCAGCGAACCTTCCTGGAAGTATATCACTGTCATAGTATGCTGTACGCAGGAAAATACCAGCGGAGAAGCTGAAGGAAATTGCCAGACGTGAGTAACAGCAGAGAAACTGCCCAGCACACTCAGCCAAAATCTGATGCTGCCTGTGCAAATCTGGCTCGCTGCGAGCAGCTCTCGGAGCTGGATGCTGTGAGGGCCGTGACGCAGCCATCTGCATGATGGCAGGCAGCTGCCATTCCTGGGGAGGCCACCGGGAACGTGGCTGTAGCCTGGTGTCAGGGCTAGAGGACAAGCAGATGGAGAGAAAGGGAAGGTGGAGAAATAGGCAGAAGCGGTAACAAACATGACTTGCTGAGCTCAGTTCAGGACTGCTTGCCCCAGCTGATGTGCATCGCCATCTGTCTTGTATGGTAGAAAGGCTGCAGGTGGGTTTGGGCTCAGAGAGGCCATGGACACCTCAGGAGGAGAGGGGGTGGGCTGTCCAGCCTGTATGAGTGTTGGTCCTCTCAAAGGCAGCTGTGTGGGGCAACCAGTCTCCTCTCCACACTGCAGTGGGCTATGCCAGAGGAGACTAATTTTCCCAAATCTCCTATTGACCTCATGGTCTCGGGTCCCCTTTCTACTCCAGCTTCTTCTGCCCCTGCAGAGCATTTTAGATCCTTCTGGGAAGTGCCGCGAGTGCACTCGGTTGTAGCAGTGACATTGTCACAGGGTCATGGAAAGTACAGAGTTTGTGCCCAAGCCATCCCTGTGGCATCTCTACCCACGTGAGCTGTTTCCAAGGCTCGGGTTCTTGCATCATGAGTTCATGATGCCCTGAGCTGATTTGTCCTTGGAGATGATGGTCTTGTTCCTGCTGGTGTGGCTGAACAGCGTGACCTTGCTGTGCCAGCTGGCCCGGGGAGACATGGGACAGCACCGTGCTCCTCTCCTTTTGGGGTGGAAGCCCACCTCGCACAGCCCATGGGATCCCCTCCCTCCCCAAGCTGCGTCCCCTGCTAGAATGGATGAGGAAATTGAGGTGGCTGGGTAAACACTCTCCTTTGGGACAGTCCAGAGAGAAAGGTGACAGCTAATTCTGTTATGGACATCTTTAAAGACTGAACGTCAGGCAGGGTGTACACAGGCTCATATCTAGAAAGGAAACCAGTGCGGGGGTTGCTGGGTTGCTCACCCGCTGGTTGCAGGAGTAAGGATGAATGAGCTCAGGCTGCCACAGTGCAGATGTGGGCTATGGTCGCTCCCCCACCAACAGCTTGCAGCCTGGCTTGCAAAACCATGTCCTCCAGCTCTGCATCCAGCGCCCCTGGGTGCCTTAGCAAGCCCAGGAGGAGATGAGAGGTGGCAGCGTGGCTGACCCAGGGCTTGGGGGTGCAGGCAGGCTGGTTCAGACCTCTCAGTGGGAGATGCCATGGGGGACTGAGGAATGCTCTGTTCCTGGGTTTTTTCAGGTGCCTGCAGGGCCCCAGCATCCTGGAAGGGCTGAGCTGGCCAGGACCCCGCCGGTGGGAAGCGTGCGATGGCTGACCTCCAAGGGAAGCCCCACCTCTTCTCACAATATTTACTTCCCCTCCGTGGACCTCTCCCAACGTCAAAAGTGCAGAGCAAACACAGTGGGGCACTTCTTGCTGTGATTCGGAAGCGCCGCGCTTTTCCCCATGCTTATTCTGCTCTGCGTCTCCCCCTGTCCCGCTCTGTGCCCTCCTCTGGGCATCTGGTGGTGACTCAATAGGAAACAAACCAACCTGAGCAAAAACAAAAACCAAACCCTGATTTCTTCTGCAACTGGCACGAGTGGCTGTCTTGCATTTGGGCACCAAGCCAAGATGGAAATGGGTTTGTCCCCTGTGGCAAAGACACAGCTGCCCATGCCAACTTGTGTGAGTGCAGCAAGTCTTCAAAACCCCCAGAGACTCGGGGGTCCCTTATTTTTCCTACCTTTATATATGTTTTTTTCTCTCACTCCTTCCCCCCCTCCCCAGCGTGTTCCTCGGTACACAGTTCCACTATCACCTAAGCTGTATAAAACTGTTCAG